CTTTGAGAATCTTAAGAATAGCATTGATATGTAATTACCGTTCCAACGCTTTTGACGATCGTTTTAGTTTCGCAGTCTTCGATCAAGAATTCGACCTTTTCACAATGAACTAAATAAATACATAGCCATTTAGTAAGCTGATCAAATATCCTAACCGAAAAATCGATGTACAGTATACACTCATTATTTACCAGCTAACGCCTCATTCGGTTCCCATTTAATATACGGTTTAGCGTACATTACAATTTCTTTATCCGTTTCAAACTTTACCGAAGTCAATGAAGACACAAAGGTGACAAAGAATAAGATAACTAAGGTGGCTAATAATCTCATTTTTTTTTTTTTTAATTGCGTAGATGACAAAGATATGAAGTTCTCAAGTTTGAACTGAGAAATCAAGAAAGACCGAGAGCCCGTTTATATAGATTTTTTGACACGAGAAATATGCTACTTCGAATACGATTATTATTATTATTATTTATTTTTTATAAAGTTTTATACAACGAATAAGAATCTAGTCTATATTAAAACCGTTGTCGCTCTTATTCATGGGAATTCTTTAATATCTCTCGAGGAAGAAAATAACAATATTATTAAGGCAACTTTATTCAAACCTCTCTTTTCTTTATTGTTCAAATTAAAACTTTACAAGTCATACATAGTATCGGCATAATAATAATTTTCACGTTACAGTACGTACTACAGTACTGTAATATAAGTTAAGGTTGATACAAACAATACTGCATACAGTACTTTAAGTATGCATACTGTTCGTCTTAAGTTTTAAGTTCACATTGTTCTGATACTAGAAAAATTTAATAATACTACGTATGATAATTACGTAGTAGGAATGTGTACGTATTACTAACCTCTCGAAATCTTTACAAAAAATATGATATCTTTTCTTACTCTATTTTTTTGTTATACGTAACATTTTTTCATAGACCTAACAGTAATAGATTTGACTTCCATAACAAGGATGATGATCATTTTATAACACCGATAATTATTGGTTCGAATTTTTTTACCATCTTTAACCCTAAAAATGTCTGAAAAGAATGATAACGAAATTGAAGAAACAGTTGCAGTAAAAACTTTCAAATCACTAGCAAAGGTTCCCTCTTATGTTTCGGCCGATATTTTGCCGGATTCGGATTCCTCGTTACTCTGTAAGGAAAGTTCTATATGACATCTGCAGTATACAATTTTTGCAGTGACCAATCCTTCGCCCTTCGTCCTTTTAAATAATTCATTCCTTAGTAATTCAAACCAGCTTGAGCCAGCGTGATTTTACTCGTAAAGTTAAACGAACAGTCGTAAAGCAATTGGTCGTATCATTGCATAATGACGATGGTTCGTTGCCAAAGGTCATCAACACCTCCGCGTTCCCCTCAATCGATCGGGGAGATATGGTTCTGCAAGCCAAATCACCAAGTGACGAGAAGCTGGTGACCTTGAGATCTGTGTCGAATGGCAAAGGCAAGAGTAGATACGTCGAGGTAAATTAATGCCAAGCTTATATAAAGCAATTGCTTTTTATTTATTATTATTATTTTTTTTTCGACCGCGATGAATGGTAATATTTTTTCACTCGTAGGTTTGGAAACATGGAAATTTGGAAAGTGCTATCGACGTCACGAACACTCACGAGGACTTTTACACTGATGGTAGTTTAATATGGTGATGTTGAAATGGTTATTAACCAATCAATTAATATTGGGAAAAATTAATTTTGCGAAAAGATGAATTCGGTTGCTTGAAATGGTCAAAGGACGAGAAAAAGGTCGTGTACATAGCGGAACGTAAGGCTCTCGAAGAATCTAATGAAAAGGTGCGCCGTCTTCTTTCAATGATTCCTACTGCATTAAAAAAACTCCTCGAATTCATCTTCCTGCGAATGTTTCTATGCCAAAAATGATTCATCAGAAGTTTGACTATGTACCAGATTGGGGCGAAAAGCTTGTGAATAGACGGGTTCCCGTAATCGTCGTTGTTGACGTTGATGACAGTAAGGCAAAGGTCCTGCCTGAATTTCATAGTATCGATCCGGGGCAGGTCGGTGATCACGTCTTTTGTTATTATCACAAGGATCTCCAAAACTTTACTGTACTGGGCACTTTCACTTAGGTACTCTTCGGTCCCGAGGACAAGACTTTGATTTTCATCGGATACGACAGAGAACCACGTCAATTCGGTCTTGCAGTTTGTCCCAATCGATCGTGGGTATCAATATTTATTTCTCTTTTATCCTTAAAGACAAGCATTCCCTAATATTGTTTCCGGGTCAATCTACAGCTCAGGAATTTATCAAAGTGAACTTGACGGAACAAACTTAGGTAAGCATCATCGTTCTTCTTTTTGGGCGATAAATAGTAGGTTCAGGATTGATCAGGAATCATTGATATAGTGCACCTCAGTGATCAAGTTCAACACGCGAGATCACCAAGGATGAACTTGGCACAAGATTGTCTGGTAAAATATTATTTCTATATTCTTAAGGTTTATTACTGGTTGTGTATAGAATTGAATTTGTTTCGATTAAATAAATAAAAAGGTTTATTTGTCGAATCCTAGGGGAGGGCCTCACGCATGGTGTTCAGAGCTCTACGCGGTAAATGACTAAGATCATTCTGTGCAATGAATATTGAATAGAGTTGTGTCGCGTTGCGGTCGGTACTAAAATGTAGACTTTCTGCTCAAAAAACGGATAGTATGAGTTTTCTTCAAGAAAGAACCGCCTCATCGTGCCCATGGTCCGTTCTCCATCCGAGTCTTTTCACGACAAATTTCCGGGGATATATTGTGGAAGTATCCTGCAAAAAGCATTCATTTCTATTGGCGGTGCCGAGTTTGTTTTGATTAATAGTTATTGGCGTAGTAGAAAATCAATATTGGCGGTAAACCTGATCTCCGGTAAAGTTCAGAATTTGACTTCAACTGGAAGCTGGACTCTGTTTACGGCTTGGGACAAATATATCGTAGCGTCTCAAGGATTCCCCAACAAATTCCATCAGCTGGTATGTTCTATGTGTATGTACTTTTTTATTCTTAGGGTACAAAAGGATTTCACTGCTCTATAAATAATCACCACAAAAAATGAATAGAACATCGGAATCATAAATGGAGCTAAAGATAAGGAAGATAACCTGGATGTCAATTGGGTAGTCGTCGATCAGCCTTATGTAGAAGAAGGAGGTTTGATAAATTCCCTTGACCAGTATGGATTCTGATGATTTTACCTAATATATTGGATTTTATTCTTAGCTGCAAAAACTCTATCAAAGAACGCATCGACCATATTGCAACCTTTCGCAGACAAACCTAACCTGGAGGTCATCTTGCACCAGCCAAGTGAGACTTCCTCGGGTAGAAAACCTCCTCTAATCGTCTTACCTCACGGTGGTCCTCACACTTCTTCCATTGCGGAACTCAGCCTTTATATACAAACCTTGGTTTCCTTGGGATATGCTATCATAGAGGGTACATTAATATTTTGTTTCAATAATCTGTTTAGCTGTGATTAATACTCATCCACGTAATAAATTTCTCAGTCAATTACTCGGGGAGCACGGGGTTTGGACAGGATTACATCGATGCGCTAATTGGCAAGATCGGCGATTTGGACATAGAGGAAGTTCAGGTGATCTAAATTTCAGTTTAAGATTCGCACCGACCAAACTACCACGAGTTGAATTGATAGTTTCTTTGTGGTATACACAGGCCTCGGCACAGTATTTCATTGACAACAACTATGTGGACCGCGATTCGGTGGCGGTGATCGGTGGTAGCCATGGTGGATTCATTTCCGGACACTTGATTGGGAAGTTTCCGGTATGAGGGTTCACCATTTTTATGATTTCTTGGTAAGAGTTGACCTCCCGAATCATGAATCGGTGAAATTCATTCCATTATCTCAGGATTTCTACAAAGCCTGTGTCATGAGGAATCCGGTGCTTAATATTGGAGGTAGGTTTATCATCATTGTTTTTTTTCATTACGCAAATCTTCTAATTTTTTTTATCATACAGGAATGACATTTGTCACGGATATCCCAGATTGGTAAAATATAATTATTTATTCCGTTCACATTAACAATGCTTATCGACTATATTTTTCAATTTTCAGGTGCTTTTCGGAGTCAGGTTTGCCATATGATCTGAAGAAACCATCTATAGTTAGGCCATCGGACTACGCAAAGATGTATGAAAGTTCACCAATTGCCAACATAGATAATATAAAGACGCCTATTTTATTGATGCTCGGTCAAGGTGACAAAAGGGTGCCGCATGTCGACGGGTTACAGTGGTGGTATTACCTCAAGGCTCAAAGAAAGGTGGATGTCCGTTGTAAAATGTATGGCGAGACAGGTCACTCGTTAGATACCATTGAAGCCGAAGTCTCGGGCATTGATGTAATTAGTAAGTTTTTGAGCGAGAAGATTGGCGTTTAGCGTAACGCAACCTATCCTGTAATACATACATAATCATCACCTTAAAGAAAACAAATAACAAAATGAAATAAATACGATTTTCGAAGTCCGAAAAATATGATATTTTAATAGGTAAAATTTAAAAAAATGTTCTAAAAATTTCTACAAATAATTTTTTTATATTATCTTTTTAAAATATTTTTTCTGCAATTGATATAAAACAAAAAAAATTGGAGTTAATTACTAAACTACTCTGTACGGTATAGCCGACACTCACTTTCTGTGACGACTGTACGAGCAGGGTTCTAGAACTCTGCTGACTGTACGTATGTAATACGGCAACACAAATAGTTATTAATTAAACTATTTTTGGCGTAACCTAAAAGTATGTAACACAATCAAACGTCTTCGGAGTACATATAGTATTACTTATCATCGGAGTTTACTACGAATCCACCGTGCGAGGTTTCTTTTCAGAATCAAAAATTAAAAAAATTGAATGTTAAACCAGCATTGTGCGGTTTCGGGAATAGGTTCGTAGAAAATTAATGGAGTAATAATGATCTTTGGAAATGATATTTGAGCATATGTACGGTCGTTAGTCATTATTTCATTATAAATAACGTTGATTTCATTAATTTGTTTTGCAGGTTTTTAACATTTTGAACTGTTATCACCAATTCTTAGATTCTGGACATTCATTGCCTTTGACTTTCGCCAGCCGATATACCCAGATTATAATAAATTTTTACCAACTCAAGCAAAATAACAAGGGAAATCACGGACATATAATTTCTACAGTTCACCATAAAAATGCATTTTTTCAAAGTCTTTAGAAAAATTTTTTTTTGTATCAAACGACACGATGACAAAAAGGGAAACCTCAAACATGGACGAGAGAAGCGTGCTCAAAACCTAACTTGCGATGTAAAATGTACTGAGGAAAAAGACCGCGTGCTACCTTTGACCGCACGATTGGATGAGGTTGAAACGACTGTAATGAGGCAAAGAGAAGATCTTGATACTCTAACGCAAAAAGTCGATGAAATTATAAAGAACACAAGAACCTCCGAAAACCCGAATTCAAGCACAACTAAACTTCACAAAGATGATCAAATTTGTCAATCGTGTCATTCCTCTAAATCTGATGAATGGTGCCCTTCTTGCGACCCTCAATATTTCATTGACCGCTTTTCCGACTGGACAAGTGGTAACCCGGACGTTGACAGATTCATTCGGGCCACACAACGCAATGCCACCAGCAGATTTAACTTTTTAGAATGGATACCCTATACAAGTCTAAAGGACGTTAAATATATAGGTAAAGGGGGTTTTGGAAAGATTTCTTCTGCAATTTGGATCGATGGGCCAAGATCGAAGTGGATGTGTGAAACTGGCAAGTGGGGAAGGTATCCAAACGTTAAGGTAGCATTGAAGAGTATCGAATCTAAGGATGTGGTTTTTGAGGAGGTTCGTACAAAGTTTAATGATTAAGCACTTGCATATTACAGTCTAGTGTTTTTTGAAAGAAAGCAAAAGTCATAGGTTAACGTGCATTCAATAACTTCTAGCTACAATCCTATCTGCATGCAAATAAGAACGTTTTCGGTCGTGTTTGTACACTTCGTATCTACGGGTTGACAAGAAATCCCGATGATCCTGAAAAATACATCATTGTCATGTTATTAGCCGATGACGGGGACTTGGGTCAATATATAAAGAAAAATTTTTCGAAGTTAACTTATCAAAAAAAGCTCGAAATCCTCTTTGACATGATCACAGGGATCTTGCAAATTCATAAGGTTGGACTCGTACATCGAGACTTACATCGAGGAAATGTCTTGTGCCAACGGTTCATAAAATTAGATGAAGGAAGGGATGAATATAGATTTGCGATCGGAGATTTAGGATTAACTCGTAAGCCTTCATCGGATTCCAAAACTTTTTATGGAATAATACCATATTGTGCACCGGAAGTGCTCGAATACGCGAAGTATAGTTTGGCTTCGGATATTTATAGTTTCGGAATAATAATGTGGGAATTGATATCGGGTGTACAAGCGTTCTCCAACCGTGAACACGACAAGTCATTAATGTCAAATATTATTTCTGGCCTAAGACCTCAACCGGTACCACATACTCCGAATTCCTATGAGATATTAATGAAACGATGTTGGGCGCCCAATCCTGATAATAGACCAAGCGCCCAAGAGATTTATGCGACGATTGGGGTATGGTTACAGAATTTATCATTCACACCGTATAAAGGAATTTCTCAAGAGTTTTTGGAGGCAGATGAGAAACGATTAGTAAGGTTGCCGGTAGAAGAATTGTCCTCGGATGCAAAATATTGCAGTACAACTTATCATACTATAAACCGTATGGGATTTTCTCCCATCTCTATTGGTATGCGTTTATCTTGTTCTTGCTCCATATAATAATTCAACTTCCGTCCTAACATAAAGATTTCTCATACAATTGCAGACCCCGAACCCACCGACTATTTTCACGTACATAAATCATCGATGCAGCCGACCCTTGTTATGGTAAAACCTCTCGTTGGGTAATTAGCATGATCATACGTATGAAAATTTTTTGATAAATAATACTTTCAATAATGGTTTCGTTAATAAAACTTTCATCAAAAATCAAAATAACAATCAAATCATTTAAATTATTTACATACTGTATATTATTGTATTTATAAACTGTACATTGAAAATATGGTACTTTGATTTGAATAGATTTTTTTATTGGATATATATAGGACTTTAAATTAGTGGAAACATACTTTACGATCAAATCATAAAATTTTACTTAAGATTTCTATACATATATATACTGTATATACTGTATATAAAGTATATCAGAATTCTTTAAATCTCGTTATTGTAGATGTACTGTAACTTAATTTTTTTTGTTAACATTGAACTCGTAAGTAGCGACATAAAACATGTGGTCCCGCGTATGCGAGGACGCGACTTTATGCATCGGGAGAATCCTACTCGGCAAAGTGGGCGTAAGCTATCAGAAGCTTTGAGACAACCGTGTCAAACTTCGCATTAGTAAGCAAGATAAGTCTGTTGAACAGAAGTACAAAAGGATGTGAAAACCGGTGTAAAATGCGGAGGCGAAACCTAATAAAGAATCCTTGAAAGAAATATTTAAAGAATTGGTTAAGGAGAGTAAAGAATGCAGGACACTTTCTCAACCAGATTTGAACGCTCTTTCTGTCCTTTGTGTATTCTTGCGTAACTTTGTTACGCGAAATTGTCCCGGGTTTGGCGACTGACAAGCCGTTAAGTCCAACAATGTATAATTTTTAGTAATCAATAACAAAAATCAACAATAATTATTTGAAATCATTATTTGCTTCAATATTATTAATGGTGCAATTACTAATATTTTGTGGTAGTTGTTCGATTTCAAAAAGTATTAATTAATATTTAACAAGTTATTTATGAAATAAGGCTCAATAATAATCTGAATCGTGGATATCACGCACGAAATCCATACTTAATAGCAAATAAATACGCATAATTCTATTAGACGTGATCTCATATTTTCGATAAATAAATAATTGAGCTTTTGTCTAGCAATATGATAAATATTTAATTTTTAAATTTTTTGTATTATTATTTATATCGGTATGCTATTCATAAATACTCATGCTTTTATTAATAAATTTCATATAATAATTTATTTTAAGTGTTTGTTTTAAAAATTTATTTATTTATTTATTTTATTTCTTATTTTTATTTTTATTTTTATTTTTTTTTTATTATTTATTTTAGATCAAACGATCGTTATTTCCATTGTTGTAACTTTGGCTACTTTGTAATTTTTTAACGTGACGCATTATCATAAAAGAAAAAAATTTGTATTTTTTTTTTTTGTATTTTTTTTTGTATAATCTTAAAGCTGATCGATACACTTGACGCTTGATTTCAATTGCAATTACTATAAATAAATAAAATTAACGATTAAAAGAAATTCGTTTATTTATTTATGATATTCGCATAATTTACAGTATATACGTATTCGAAGATTTGATTTAAGTGTACGTATACAAATACGTATACAGTATGTACTATACATGCGTAAATCGAAGAACTCTAAAATTATTTCTAATAAATTTATTCTATATATTATATGCATTATATTTTCTATTGTACATGGTGCTGTATGTAAAGATGCTAGAAACATTCGTAAAGATCAATTTTTCAATATATATGTATATATACGATATTGTACATATGTATAAAAAGATGTCTAGAATGTCAGAACAAACTCTTCGACGCTTCCGTTTATCTATTGATGGTAGCAAACATGAGTAAACGTGATTTATTTGATCAATACGTACTGCGCGTACATACCAAATATAAAATTCTAACAATTCTCCGTGCAATAAATCTTCTTACTATGGTACCTTTCGTCCGCTTCGTTTCGCAACCTCGATAACCATTTCTCATCAGCTTCCTGAAACTCCTTGGAGATTTTGTCATTCGGAGTAGATATCAACTTCTGTAACCATACTCCAATAGTTTCATAAATTTCTTGAGCCTTTGGTCTATCATTTGGATTGGGCGTCCAGCATCGTTCCATTAATTTCCTGTAAGACTCTGGAATGTTTGTTGTTAATTGAGGTCTTTCGCCAGAAATAATTCTATCTTTTAATGAATCATCGTGCCCACAGTTAGAAAAAGCTCTTGCACCAGTCACCAATTCCCACATAATTATTCCGAAACTATAAATGTCCGAAGCAAAACTATACTTCGCAGCATTAAGTATTTCAGGTGCACAATAAGGAATCACCCCGTAAAAAGCTTTAGAATCTGATGAAGGTTTGCGAGTTAATCCCAAATCTCCGATCACGAATCTATATTCATCCCTTCCTTCATCCAATTTTATGAACCGTTGACACAAAATATTTCCTCTATGTAAATCCCGATGCACAAGACCAACCTCATGAATTTGCAAGATTCCTGTGATCATGTCAAAGAGGATTTCAAGCCTTTTGTGATAAGTTAACTTCAAGAAATTTTCCTTGATGTATTTATCTAAGTCTCCGTCATCGGCATATAACATCACCATCATATATTTTTCGGGATAATTAGGATCGCTTGTCATCCCGTAGACACGAAGTGTACAAATACGGCCAAGAACATTCTTTTTTGCAGCCAGATAGTATTGTAACTAGAAGAATACCTCAAAAAATCATTCATCCATTCACATACGTGTCCACAAATTTAATAATATTTAAAACGTACTAACCTCATCAAAAAGTATAGTGTTATACTGGAAGTCATCTAGTTTAATCCTCTTTAATGCTACTTTGACATTCGGATATCTTTCCCATCTGCCAGTTTCGTGCGACCATTTTGATCTTGGTCCATTGATCCACGTTGCTGAATAGATCGTCCCGAAACCACCATCACCTATATGTTCAACATCCTTAAGACTTTCATAAGGTATCCACTCTAGGAAGTCAAATTTACTGGAGGCATCACGTTGGGTGGCCTTAATAAAGTTGTCAACTTTGGTGCTACCACTGGTCCAGTCAGGATAGTGACTAACAAAATATTGCGATTCGCAGGTGGAACACCATTCCTCGTCAATCTTTGGGTGACGGCATCCTTGACAGATGTAATTGTTCGGTGATTCACCATGATCCGAAGTGGTGGTAGAAAAATTAGAATCGACCGTGGTGGCATTTAATTGCTTTGAAATTTCGGAAATCATTTTTTCCAAATAATCAAACCTTTCATTCATATGTTGTTCCAAAGCATCGAATCTATTGATCACAGGTTTATTAAAAACGTTCTTGTCGAAGCTGGCCTCGCTTTTGTGACTGGATCTTATTGATTCGATCTTCACTTCCAAGGAAGAAAATCTTTGGGACTGTTGATGAATGCTCTCTGTGTTTTTGTTTAGAGCGGCCATTAAGGACTCACTCACACCTTTGTTTTTCATTGATTCAAGCCTCTCATCTTCCATCACGGGTTCAAAATCTGATTCAACACCCTTTCCCGAATCATTATGTTGTTCGTTGACATTCACATTCTCATTAACCGCCCGATGCCCGGGAAAAGATTTCTTTCGAAATATATCTTTAAAGTTTTTAATCATGAGCTTAGATTTTTCCCCAACGCTTCTATTAAAAGACATTTTCAATGTTTGGATCGTACGTTCTGTTCAAATAATTTTTTTGGCGATTCAATGAAGGATAGTTAACGTTCAGCGTTGATTTATGCGTTATTTAATGGCAGCAAAATAACTTTCAACATTATTTTATTGGCAGAAAATAACAGCACTTTCCGCTTTACGTTAATTAAACTTCAGAGAAAATTATTGGAGTAGGAACTGATAAAACCCTTTTTACAAAAACGATGACACAAAAAATACAACGGTTCTTTTAAATCTTTTCCCTTATGCTAATATTTATAGTGGAAGAGCGAATAGGTGAACTTAATATTTCCAGAAGTTCTGCGAAGAAAGCTACAATCAACGCATCCTTTAACGTACAGTACATGATGTAATTAATTGTCGAACTACCGGATCAGAAAATTCAAAGTCCGATAAAAATTGTGAGACAAACACACACAGCTTGCATTACCATAAATTATTTATGCCTTGTACCAAATACTGTACGTAATATGATGTTATTACTTTAAAAAACGATTGCTTTTTTCGGATTTTTTGAATGATACAAAGGAAAGTAAAATAAAGAGAGACATAATGTTCATAGAAAAATTATTAAATGCATTGTTTACTGTAACTTCGAAAAATCGAACAACTTATTTTATTGAAGGTAGGCCTACCATTAGGTCTGATTTCCATTGTTCTCAAATAACTTTACAATTGCGTTTTTGCATTGGTTCTAGAAAACTTGGTACGCATTGTATCATTTGTAATGCAATAGCATTTTTACGCAACAGAAATATACACTATTCACGGTTTTTCATTTTTATCATTTAAACTAGGATCCGATGACTGAGGTAACTCATTTTCACACCAATTACGGGGAATAGCTAGATTACCGTCTCATATGAGCGTGATGAGACGCTAGTTTATTAGATCAAAAGTGGACTAGAACGGGAAATAAGTTATAATAATGGAAACAGTTTTGGTCCGGGCCATTTCAAAACAACAAATAGGATTGTCTTGTCCACATGTTCATTTGCAATAATGCATATTGATTTAAAGATCGGTTCAATTCAGTTTCCAGGGCATAATTCACCAAATCACATTAATCACACAATTTCTAATTTTGTTTCAAATCCACTCAATTTCGGAACATTTGTCGCATAGATTTTTTTTTTTTTAAAAAAAAGAATTGTTATTTTTCCAGGTTTTACTATGGAAAATCAAAATTGGTTCAAAAGATTTTTATACGTTATTAAGCAGAGCCGTCCTTCTGTGAATTTACATATTCTGTTTGAAGAATGAACATGAACCCAAAGAATCGAATTGCTTTTTATGAAATTCGAGCATTCGGCTCAACATTTATTAAACTTTTCGCGTATGATACTGTTCCCTCAAAAAGTAATGAAGACTTGATGTTTCTAAATTTAATTAAAAAAATAATAATAATAAATCAAATCATCTTGATATACTATAGATAAATCACTTGAAAAAAAAAAATTTTTTTTTTTTTATAATGAGTAAATCGAGAAAATTAAAAAGTGTAAATAATAATAATAACAATAAAAAATAAATAAATAAATAAATAGACTTAATAATTCATGAAATGAAAATCACGATAAGAAAGATTCTTTGGATGACTTTAAATAAATAATATCAATGTAACTTATGATTTATAGTTTTAAAAATTTTTTATTTATATTTAATAAATTCAAAAGGAAGCTATATACTGCAACATAATGAAGTATAAATAATCTTTATTCTAACTTTGAAAATTTGAAACCAATTATTTCCCTTAGTAATAGAATATTTTTACAATAAAAATTTGACCTCCATTATTTTTGGGGAGAGACTGTACATATTCAGAGTGCCGGGTATTAACGAAAGTGCTCTATAGACAAATATCAGAATGCAACGAAAGGCTTATAAGAAGTCCCATAAGTCGCGTCGTGACCGATTTACACTTGTAAGATCAAAGTTCACTTGATCATATCCTAATCAAGCACCTCTTCCTACATAAATTTCGAGTTAATACATAACATGGCATGGTTATTCGTGCCCACACCTACTACCTTACAAAATTTACACATCCATGGCAGTCTATTTCTTATTTTTCTTTAGACCGCGGCCCCCCTAGATTGATCACTTGGTGGTTCATCACTCTGAACTCCAATAGGTTTGAATTCCTCCAATTCTCTAAGAAATTCGGGTTTTGGTGAATTAGCAAGATAAATCGGATTCGGTTGAGAATGATTCGGATACTCGGTAGGCAATGAAATTGCATTAAGACGGTAGAGTTGTTGTGGCGTCAGTCTTTTGGATGAGTTCAAAAAAATTGATTAATGACGTTGAATCTTCTTGAGATTCAATTATTTACTTTTAGAAGAACATACTTGAATTCTAGAGCTCTCAAATTTTCATCCAAAATTCCTACGTTTCTGGCCGCTACAACCAGCGAGGTAACATCTGGTTGTTGTAGGGTCCAATTGATGGAAACCTAATTTAAGAAGGCAATAATTAATAATAGTGATTACTAAATTGAGCTCCCTAGTTGATTGACTCACCTCAGCAGGACTCCTTCCGACCTCGTCCGACACTCTTCTCACTTCTTCGAGTATTTGCCAATTTTTTTCGTTCTCCGCATACTTGAGAACAGTCTGTTTTGAGGGGAAATCCACACCAGTTTTCAAGTATTCTTTTGTATATCGTCCAGTCAAAAACCTAAAAAAAAACATGTTAACAAATTTTTGAATAAAGAATATTGATCCAAAATTGCGAAATTGAAATTGACATTTACCCTGAAGAAAGCACATTATATGAGACGAATCC